AGAAAGACTGATGAGATCAGCAGGGTGAAGAATAAGAAAGGAGTAATCGTGGTAAGTAATGTAGTGTAAGGACCTGTGATGGTGTGGCCAATCACCAAAGATTGTACTAAAACACAGAGACACATTCTTTGTACTTCTATTCTTTAAGAACGTATGACAGGAGTCTACCACAAAAGGCATCTGAAAGACTCTACCTAGCAGTGTTTCAAAGCAGACACTAAGACTCATAAACAAACCCTCGGCAGAGTGCAGGGAATCATATGAAAGAAGGGGAGTTAGTATGATATGGAAAGGATAGGAGCTCTACAAGGACCAAATATATCCGGGCACAGGGTCTTTTCTGAGACTCACACTCAACCAAGGACCATCTATGGATATAACCTAGAACTTCTGCTCGGATGTGGCCCGTGGTAGCTCAGTAACCAAGTAGTTTTCCAAAGTAAGGGGAACACGGACTATTTCTAACAGGATCTCAAGGGCAGGCTGTTTGACACCCCCCCCCCAAGGGGAGGAGCAGTCTGTTAGGCCACAGAGGAGGACTTTGCAGCCAGCCCTGAAGGTATCTGATAAAACAGGGTCAAATGAAAGGGGAGGAGGTCCTCCCCTATCAGTGGACTTGGAAAGGGGCAGGGAGGAGACCAGGGAGGGAGTGTGGGGTTGGGGAGGGAATGAGGGAGCAGGATACAGCTAGGACACAGAGTTAACAAAATGTAACTAAAAAGAAAAATAAAATTAAAAAAAAAACAGAAAAAAATTTTTTTTCTGCCTTCAAAGAGCTTAATTTTTCTCCACGTAAATTATTCATTTAAAACCTCTTCTAATGGAATTATGCACTGAAGTGTTCTATGAGAATGGAGAAAATATGATGTATGGGATTTCTCCAGAGGACACATTGGGGATGGAGGTACAGAAGAATGGTACAATGTCTGTTTGGTATACATAAGTCCTGAGCTCAGTCCTAAGTCAGGTGAGAACAAGAAGGAGGAAGAGTAATGAAAGATATGTGGTGAAGTTCTCTAGCTCAGAGTTTATTCTCTGATGCGGGAGCTGAGGGGGGAAGCATTCAGAAGGGAGAAATTGCCCAAGATCAAGGCAAAAAAAAAAAAAAATGCATCCAGTATTAAGTTAAAAAAAAAAAAAGAATGTAAACCACAAATAAATATTTGCATTACATTGGCAGTGATAATCAAGTTGGAGAAATAGGGGTTGGTCCAGGAAGTTTGTATTTCTCATATGTGCAGGTAGAAAGGGAAGTAACAAATTTTAAAGTTCTGTATGAGTTAACAAGGCTCATGGCGATAATACCTGAAGTCAAGATGAAAGCTTATGCTAACAGGCCACATGAACAATTCAGGCTGGCTGAATTTCCATGTGGAAGGTAAGTTGTATAGGAAGGGACTAAAACTGAATTCCCCAGACACTTTAGAGTTTATGTACAGCTTAAAATATGCTTTTCATTAAACAACTTGCTTTAAAAGAAATATGTCCCTGGGTTGATGAATCATCCAAAACCTTCCACATTATGACAATGGCTTCACTGTTTCATATTCTCTATATTAACACTTGTATTGTGTATTCTTTATGACCGCTGTTTTCTCAGATAAACAATACAATAACTATTCACTGAAAATAAGATGTCCATTCTCAAGTGACATTTATTGATAATAATGTTCATAGTATTTCTGGTGAAATTATTAAGAACATCAGCAGTGATGTCGGCAAAAACCCAGTTGTATGCAGTTTGTGTTTTCTTATGAGGAATGTAGGCAAAAATAAAGACCTTTGTTTAAGTGCAATTGGAAAGTGGGACATAATTATAGGAGCATACTCTTAATACTTTCCAACTTTCAAGTTGATGTATGTTCAAAGTTTTGGTTTTGTCAAGTAGCAAGTGAAGTATGCTTTTAAATGAGTTCCTAACAGCATAAAAATTTACAGTTATCCAATTAATTTACAAAAAAAATAGAAAAGTAGTAAAAATAAAAGCTTTAAAGTATATATTATAAATGTAAGTGGCTTAAATTTACAAGTATTAAAAGAAAGATTGTTCCTAGGTATGGTTAAAAAACTAGTCTCTCACAGTATAGTTTCAGAAGAAAGCCTATTTACCTTGAAAGGTTATTTACATTTTCAAAAGGGTGGAAAAGGAGACTTAGGTAAATATGAATCAAAAGAAGGTGACATGGTACTAATTTCATATCTGGGACTATAAGCTTAATCATACATCCTCTAGGCAGCAAATAGAGATTAAACTTGGAAAACCAAGTACCAAAAATTAGGATGAAACATAAGCTCTGAATATCATTGCTGTAATCCTTGAGTTCAAACTGAAGTACTGAGGGAGGTGAACAAACTGGCATTTGTTGTTTGATGCATGAATGCTTTTTGTTTAGATGATAGAAATGTATAAAACATGAAGCCAAAGTGTAATTGACACAAACCTGAACACAACCATAAGTATATAACATTTATAAAGAGACACAAATATTAAATTACCATTTTCTAAGAAAAAAAAACCCAAAAGTATATTGAATGTGAATATAACAAAATAAAGCAATATATTGCAAGAGATTAAGTATAATTACTGGTCATAAAATATGTCATTTATTTTAATATGTTTTTAGCCGAGAGCAGATGGAAATTATATGGGTGTCTTAAATGTATAAAAGGACTTAGGCCTCTACACAAACACAAACACAAACACACACACACACACACACACACATATATACAAAGAAATTGTGTATTTACATGTATAATATTATAATTACAATCATAAAACAAGTTTGAAGAAAATTTGACAAGTAAATTTGACAGTTATTTTTAAATATAATGAATCTAGAACTCTGGATGTAGTTTCTAAAAAGAAATTCATGAAGCTGTTTGTAATATAAAATATCACCTTTTAGTCTTTATTACAGAATTTGGCAGTCTGTCAGACTTTTGGAGCTCTTTGTACCCACATCCAAACGAGGCTTACACATTGATCTCTTTCATGAGGAAATACAATTCTTATTTCATCTACCAACTTCCAGGTAAGTAATCCTGAGAACTCCAACTTACGCCAAAAAAAGTTATTGACTAAGTTGTATGTTTCGGTCATTAAGACAACCACAATGAAAGCTATAATCAGATCTTAATTTTGACGACTTGTTTATTTTGTTTTATTTCTTATGAGTGTTTGCCTGCTTCATGTATGGGAACCATTCGCATGCCTGGCGTGCTCAGACCCCAGAACAGAAGAGAGTTGGTGGGTGCTTGGAACTGGGGTTACATAGGCATTTGTGACCTGTCCCTGGGTTCTAAGAATTGAACCTGTGTCCTCTATGAGAGCAGCATGTACTCATGAACATCTCCCCAGTCACAAGCAGTTCCTGTGTTTAAGCTTATTATCCCCTAGGAGTACACTCATGCAGCACTACTCTGTGTCCCCACGCATGAAGTGGGTGTGTGGTACTTGATACCAGCTTCTTTGCAAACTTGTAAAAATAACTTGATCCAGAGCACGGTGGCCCCGTAGAAAATCCATCTGACATTTTGTTTTACCTTATGTTTTGTTTTTGTTCTTGTTTTCTTGAAATGCTGGAGAAAGGTTTGGGATTTATTAAACCTCGGTTATGTTGAGGATATTCATAAATGTTATAATCAACCCAATTGTGATACATTAGATGAACTGAAAACTCAATTTTAAAATTTTACTTACTAATAATCTAATAATTTATTTCAGAGATAATTCATCTACACATCTTGTGGAAATCATACACACATACACACACACACACACACACACACACACACACAGAATTACTGAATTTCAGGGTACATGTCTTACTAACTACAAAGTTGAATTGTCTCTTTAACCTTGTTTACTTATCTACTCCCAGAATTTAAGACTTGTTTTTTCAAATAAGTAAGTTGAGTCAGGGTTGAGCAATCTCAGCTTGTTAAGGACCAGACAGTAAATATTTTAAGCATTACAAGTCATAAGGTTTTTGTCACAACATTCAGTCTTGCCATTATTGCAAAAGCAAGACATAGAAATACGTACCACCTCTGTGGTCTAGCAAGGCTGCTCCTCCCTCGAGGGGGTGGGGTAGGGAGGTCAAAGAGCCAGCCACTGAGTTCATGTCAGAGGTAGTCTCTGTTCCCCTTAGTAGGGAACCTACTTGGATACTGAGCTACCATGGGCTACATCCGAGCAGGGGTTCTAGGGTTATTTCCAAACATGGTCCTTGGTTGGATATACAGTCTCATAAAAGAAGACCCCTGTGCTCAGATAGGTCCATGTGGAGCTCCTGTCCTCTCCAGGTCATACTAACTCCCCCGTCTTTCATATGATTCCCTGCACAGCCAGTCCTGGAGAAACCTGATAAGCTAGGGTCAGATGGAAAGGGAGGAGACCAACCCTATCTGTGAACTTGGAAAGGGGCAGGGAGGAGATGAGGGAGGGAGGGCAAAATTGGGAGGGAATGAGGGAGGGGGCTACAGCTGGATATACAGTTTATAAACTGTAACTAATATTTAAAAAATAAAAAAGAAAAAGAAAATAAATAAGACATACTTAAAAAGAAATATGTAACAATGACTTCAGGGTTGTATTCTAATAAAACGTTAAAAAATGTATAGATACTGAAATTCCACTTTCACTTATTTATGTATTTCATGTCATTAATTCTTTAACCACTTATAATATACAACTAATTTTTAGCTTGTAGGCCATACAAAAAACAATAGCAGGACATTTTGGTCTATGGGTTGAGAATGCAATGAATTGTGTTTTTTCTTATCCCTCTCTCATATTTTAAGACAGACTTTCATAACTACCAGTATCAAATATCATCATATTCATGAAAGGGCTACTTTCTAGCTTTCTGTAACATTTACTTTTTTATACTGAAGGCCATTACTGTTGTTCTATGGATACAACAATAATTTTTCATGTATAAAGAATACATAATACCAAAAAGTTTTAAACAATAAATAAGCCTAATATAGCTTACCAAATTAATTTGCAGAGTCTGTTCCCAGTTTTTCTCATTGTTCACTCCTGCATTATTGACCAAAATATCCAATCTTCCAAAATGGTCTACGACTTTTCTAAAAGTATCTAATAAAAAAAGAGACAGGTATTTTGACTTTCCAGGTAAGCATTTAAGTTATTTTCTATTAAGAGGAAAAAAAATATTGGTTTTACTTTATTATTTTATTCTATTTTCTTGTTGTACTAGCGGTTGAATTTTGGATCTTACTCATTCTAGGCAAGTGCTCTAACACTGAGCTCTATCATCTTTTTACTTTTATGTTGACTCAAGGAGTCACTAACTTGCCTAGATTGTCCTCAAACTGGGGATCCTCATGCTTCAGCTTCCATAGGTGAAATTAGAGGCTTGCACCACCAGGTTTGCCTGGATTTCTGCATCTAATTTGACCACATTGTGAGAATTATGCTCATGATTTGGTTCTCAGTTAGTGGTCTGTAGACCAGTTTTATCACCTGAAGTTACCTAAGTGTTAGAAAACAGTATAGTCATTGCATGCCTAGTAAATCAGAAACTCACTTCAACATATCCTTAGATGATTTGAATTCACATTAAAGTTCTATAATAAATAAGCTGATGGCATAAATACTAGAGAAGTGATCATTCCAAACTAAGATATCTCTTGAGGTCAGTTTGGACAGCTAGTATCTTTCTCTTCTTAAGAAGTTATTGAAAGTTTTTGGTGTAGACTATACAATCTTTGTGTTTGTTCATAGCAAGGGTCAAAATCCAGGGCCTTACACATTATAGAAAAGTGCTCTACACAGGAGCGATGCCCTTAGCCCTTCAAATTTACCCCTTTAATAAGCTATATTGTATATACAAAGTATTAAACAAACTGAAGTATTCATGTGTTTAAATCCATTATAATCATATTTCAGGAATTTTTGAATAAGTAAAAGCTAATAATTAAAAGTCCTAATAAATAAAAGCTCACTTTTTATTCAGTTGATTTCATCATGCTCATGTTGCCTTCATGCTTAGTACTTCATTTTTCTCTCACTGTCATTATGGCTTTGTTCATTAAAACTGTTCAACTGGGAAAGAATCTCACTCATTGCAATGTCTAACCATATTAAAAATCTCATAAACTCTCTATAGCCCTTTCAATGTTGGCTTTACGACCTTAGAAAATTTGTACTCCTTAACTCAGCCTTTCATATAGTTCTATAGATTTAACAGGTTCCGTGGTCACATTCATTGTACTTCTATTGCTTTAGACTGTAGACAATTGTGTTTATTCTTTCATGTGGCAGAAATATATTCTCAGGCCTGCAAGTGAAAACATGCATTCCTTTAAATAGACAGATCAGCCCAAATTTTATCTTGACAAATACATTCATAGAGATAGTAACAACTATCAAATATGTTTAGGGTGGACATATTACCATGCAAGCTGGTTGTTAAGCGCATCATCAAAGTTTTTTTTTGTTGTTGTTTTTGAATAATTATTATTTTACATTCACTGGACCAAATTGGAAAACAACAACACAAATTTAAATATTATATATATATATACATACATATATATATATATACATACATATATATATATATAATCTACATATATAACTTTTTAAATTTTTGGTGGAATTTTAAAACAATTTAAGTCTTAAATTGGTTCCAGAAAAGGTTCAGGAATGTTTATTTGTTTTCCACCTCTTCTGACCTAGGTTTCATGTTCATTCCTGTACAGGGACAGGCTCACTTAAGTTACTAAATACATATGTCTGATTTTCCTTTAATTTTCTTCCCTTTTGTTTGCCACTGCTTAGATTTTTATGAAGTGTCCTATGCCTTCTGCTTTCTCCATCTCACTGAGATCTCAGGTCAAGTGACTTATGTTTAGCTTCTTCTGACACTTAAGTGCTATGATACTCTTTAAAATTCATTGGAACTTTGTGCTGTTTTGTGTCTCCAAGGACAGTTTTAGCTCTGTATTTTTATTAATTCAGTGTATTTAAACATTGTTAGAAGTTGTGCATAACATTAAGTTCTGAAGTTGTGAGACTCCGTTTCATCCTCTCCTTTTATGTCTGTAGGTCTCTAAAGAACATATGAGCTTCTTATGACTGACAGGCCTTCTGGAACATTTATTATGTGTCTCATTTTCCTTCACAATTACTTGTGCCTATGGAATATGTTCACAGCCATGGAACTCATTTTAAATACTGGCAAAATAACTTATACTAAATGTCATGTGTGAAGCCATATAAATTATGGTTCCTATTGCAGGAGCATGAATGCTGGGACTTGATATGACTGTCTTTGAACCTAATACGCCACCAATAAAACTCTTCTGTGACTCTCATCTCTCATTCAGGCCAGAATTACCTTGAGTTCAAGGTCACTGTGACATTCTGAGTGAGACTTTGTGTCAAAAATAAACACAGAAACCACAAACATCTTCAAATAATTAACTAATGTAAACAAAACATTCTGGTTATCCAGCCCTCAGGTGGCTGAAGTAGGATAACTTGTAAGTTTCAGATAAGGCAGTATTAGGTTGGAAGAGCTTGTATTTAAAAAAAAATCAGCAAAGCAATATATATATTAATAAATAATATATCAATATATTATGTATTAATATCTATATCTATGTATACATTGATGACATTTGAAATGAAAGAAAGGCTACACTAGACTGGGTTAAATGGGGTACCTGACAAAGCTGAGAGACTTACATGACAGGGACACTGGTGACAGGCCTCCCATCCCAGCAGAAGTAGAGAGTGACCCCAAGCTCCAAGCCTCTGAGGGTCTTGGACTGCTCTGACTCTTCATATGCCTTTCCACAGTACACTCCCTTTGCAGTCACACACCTCCCAGTCAAAACCTGCAGGCTGACTGAACAATCGAGACTCTACTCCCTTAGGTCTTTTGGGACTTAGATGGTATCCGCGTGGATAGGATCAGATCTGTACCCAGGATAAGGATTTAGAATAATGGTCAGGGATGAGTGCACTGATCAAAGCACAGACTCTAAGCTGTTAGTTTGGACTTTTTTTTTTTTTTAGACAGTGTTCCACAGTTTAGCCTAAGTTTTCTGGAATTTATATGTTGTCCATAGTGAGCTCCAACTATGAGCAATCCTTTTGCCTCTACCTGCTGTGTTACGTGATGTGAGCTGCTACTTTTGACTGAGTTTTAAATGACCCCTGTAGAATATAATCCCCAAAGGCCTTTTCAAAATTTATATTAAAATGTACTTAATTAAAAAAAAAACCTCTCCTCTGACACAGAAAGTTCCATTATGACTGTTCTTAAAGATCTGATCTACTCATTTATGCTCTCTTGTCAGCCTGTTAGCACATTCAGATTTCAAAGACAATCTCTTTATTTCAGTTACACTTACCTTTAGATTCACTGTCTTCCAACAGATCAGTCCATATTTTATTCATAGGCTGCTCTAAGATTTAAGAAACCTAGGAGCTTAGCATTCCTTTAACAGATACTCTAGAGTAAAACTGGCGGAAGTTTTTTGGCTTCTGGATTTAAAATGTGCCTACCAATTTACTTTGTTTCTTTGCATAACAACACCTTGTGAAACACCATTATTTTTATAGTTTCCCCCTGGGAAACTATCTTTATGGAAATCCTTTGAGCCCTCTATACAGCCAGTGTATATTGCTGACGCCAATATTCTTCCTGATTTTTCACAAGTAGTTGTGTCTATTTTAAGAGATCACAGAAAAACAGGAAAACATTGGGGAACGGCGATAGAGCCTTTTCTTCTTCTTTAACTCTAACATCACAAAGTTATTATTTTAAGTGCCATCTTAGAGGGGAAAACCCAGGGAAAATATGTGGCTGAAAGCATTTGGCTTGCTTGTGACCGTGATCCGTGAACTTGTGCTCTAAAGCATTTAAGAGAAAGGCGTGCCTCATGTCATTGTCATTGGCTCTGAGAGCTGCTCGCCACAGTTCCTCAGCCTGTCCCCTCAGTGAGTAATTGCTGTAGCGGCAGTGTCTACGAACAGACTCTTGATTACATTATGTGCTGCCAAGTGACTAAAATAAAAGGATTTCTTAGGCAGTTCTGTCTTCCCTTAGTTTTTATGGCCTTTCGGTTGGCAGAAGGAAACGTAACAGTCCGAACATTGCAGCTAGAGAGTCACAGCTTCCCCTGTGAGAGAGATGCTGACTCCGAGCGTTGTGTGCTCTTACCTGGCGTCTTCAGGTTGCTGCTTGCTCAGAGTGTGTTCCCGAGTCTATGGATCGAGTCTTACCTCTCAGTTGTTCCTGGTCGGCCACATCACACTGGAGGAACAGAGTCTTCTGAGGTTCGAACTGTTCATCCAGGTCAGCTTTGCACTTCACACTTGCCTCAAGGTTCCAATCCACCAACGCCACCTACAAACAAGGGAGAGGGAGCAGGTCTGTGTGCGGTTCCCGCCACCAAGCCTCAGGCGCACAAGCAGTGAATAAACAAGCCGCTGCCGTCTTGGATCTCAGAATGTGCTCGTCCAAGTTCGGGTTCTCTGCCAGCGGCGTTGGAGGTCTGCTCGCGAGCCTGGGGCTCGGCACCCCGGGAGCTCCCGCGTGTGGGTGGACGGAGAAGTACTTACCTTGGCGCCGCGGAGCAGCAGCGCCTCGACGATAGCTTTGCCTATACCCTGCGCCGCGCCGGTCACCAGGGCCACTTTGCCGTTCACGTGCATGGCGGGTCGCAGCTCTGCGGGTGGTGGGCGAGCTCCGCGTCTCGGCGCCGCTGCAGCTTTTATGGGCCCCTGCTCGCGCGTGCAGCGGGCCTGGGAGCTCCTGCCAGTGGGCGGGGAAGAAACTGTCAAGCCAGCGCCTAGGAAATCGTCATCCCGTCGTCGTGTCACCTGCCCCTGAACACCAGGGTTAGAGCGAGGTGATCTTTTGCCTTCTAGGCTTTCAGCTGTTGCGGATTCCCCAGCAGGATTTGCTCTCAAGCCTCTGGCTGCGCGGAGTTGCTGAACTAGCAGAGGAAAGGCAGAAACGAAGGAAGCAAAACTTTCTAATAAAGTTTCTTCAACTACTCGAACGCTAATCCTATGGGAGAGCAGAGGAGAGGCTCCTTTTCTCACGTTCCCAGCGGCTGGCTTCAGAGTGCGTTCAGTCGGTTTAACACCGAGCTCTCCGAGAAGCCCGAGATTAACAGCAGAATGAGTTCTTTGTGTGTTTTGCCTGCCCACAGAAGGAAACCTTGGTGAATGTGCCTGAGTTCTCAGGGAAGTGTTTGGGGAGGCTGCAGAAAATACAAAGTTGGTGTCAAGCCAACTTGTTACAAAGTTGCATTGAAACTAAATCTTGGAAAAAAATGTTGAGAAAAGAAGAGAAGGAGATATATGTATTGTACTGAGAAGAGGAAGCAGAGGGGCTGTATTTTACTTTTTCTTTATTCTGGAGAATTTCATGCATGTATACAAGGAAATATGACTTGCTCCCTCCAAGTTTCCTCCTTTTATTTTTCGAGCAATCCACTAAATTCAGTTAATTCTACCCATTTGCTCACCAGTGGCCACGTAGGCGGGCTTATGTTGAAGGAGAACAACAGAGACATAAAATGATAATAATGCAAAGAAATAACAGAGAGCCAGTGCTGATGTCATGCACAACACCAGGAAAGGAAAAGGAATGGGTCCTCAACCAGGAGCCACCTGGACAGCGCTGGAAAAAAGTACTACTGAGATTAAGTGAAGGTGCCTGGAGAACAAACAGTGCTCAACAGAGAGAAAAGGTTCCAAAAGGAACGAAGTGGTTACTAATGCCGAGTGCTTTGATGAACATGAGGGCAACGTTTGGCAAAGATTTTGAAGTTTCTAGGACAATAATAGCTAGCACGAGTAAAATTTAAAAGGCACAGCACCTAGTGCTGAAATGAGGGGGAGAGATACTGCTTTAGACTCAAGCCCATCATTACAGAACATGGGCAGGGTAGGAATTGAGGAGATTAGAAGGAGAATATGTTTTTCTTTAAATAAAGGACAGAATTGATTCAGACTAAAAAGAGTCTGTTTGAGTGTTTGAGGGTCTATGGGCGAGATTTAAGGTGCCCCGAGGCTGTCGCTCCCTCTGTCACGCCTCAGATTCCTTATTTGTTAAGTAAGAATTAAGCAATGCATGTGAAACATTACCACAGGGCCTGGCACAGAATAATAGCACAATAAATATTAATCTTAACAAATTGTTTCTAGATTGCTCATAAATCACACCAGTGAGATAGGGGAAAACAAAGAGTTTTCTGTTTTTTTCTTTTTTAAACATAGGACCGAGAATTTCATAACCAGTACCTTGTCTCTCATTATCAAAGTCCACTGCCCACTGCTTCTTTCCAGCCTCGTCTTTTGGGATAGCAACAGCACTTATAGGCTCCTGAATTTATTTGCCCTTAAATTTCTTCAGTTCTGCTTCCATGATCAAACCAGGCAATGTTCTCAAGACCCATGTTACTTACCCACTGCACTGATTACAATTTTTTAACTCCAGGGTACTGTATACGATATAATCAGCACTGTGCATTTACCTAGTAGCCCCTTACTACATTCCCAGAAGCAGTATCAGTTACAACATATTCCAATCTCCACCCTCAAGGTCTTGCCCTGCAAGGATTGCTCACTGCAATATCCTTCTCCTCCCATTTTCTTCACCTGTTTTTGTCTCCAGCTATCAGATCCTTATCCCAGAAACCTTATCCCGGATAATCCAGGTAATGGATGACCGTAATTAGTTTACAATCTGAGTAGCTTCACAAAAAGCTCTGTCTTTTTCTCTGAGTACCTTCCAGTATCTGGCCCAGTAATGTGTGTGTGTGTGTGTGTGTGTGTGTGTGTGTGTGTGTGTGTGTTTGTTAGGTATGGAAAAGCACAGGTAACCATGAGTTAAGTCATGAGAATATCAAAAATCTTGCGTAAATGCTATATTTTCAGCTGCTGGGGTGATTTCCTTCACATATTAAGATCAGAAAAAAAATTGAAATTTTAGAAAAATACTTAACATTTGTAAAATATTTTATAAGAAAGTTATATTTTTATTTAAAAATCTACAGGTCATTGTATATTGCTTTCTAAAAAATAAAAATACCCAAACATTCTTTATCCCGTAAATGTATTTTGACTCCTCTATGGATTTTGTTAAATGTGTTTCTACTTTCCTGTGAATTGTGTGAATTATATTGTTAACTTTCATTTACATGAGCCGTACATGTCTACCATCACATCGAGTTGCTACTAAAACTGTGATTTGTGGTTACAAAGATGAGAAATCTGAGGTTTATCATGAATATAGCTTTGTGAGAACATTTGTATGATTGTTTTGTCCTTTAAGCAAGATCTCTTGAAACCAAAATGTTATGAAATTTTAAAAAGAATAATTATTCCCTAAGAAAAACACAAGTATTGAATATTTATCACTTATTGATGGGGTGAGATAGATATCTTAAAGTAACTAATAGCACAGACTTTCTGAGGCCATGTCCGAAACATACAGGCCCATGACCTCCAGGAAGTTAGTTAGCATTCCCAAGCCCAGCTTCTTCACCAGCAAAATGAAAATAATAATAATACTTATTTCATAAAGCTGTTGTGAAGACCGTAATAAGTTAGATAAATACAATTCAAGGGCACAGGCCCGTGACTGGTGCGCAACACATGTTATATAAATGCTCCTGTATCTAAGCACTGTACTTGTATAATTGCATCTATTATTTACAGTCAAAGCATGAGGTAGTTAGTATTGTGGGTTATTTTACAGATGAGAGGAATCCGGAGAACTTGGTATAACACCAGCATCGGTATCTAGAAAATTAAAAGAGAAGGCTTTGACTTGGTCTGCCTGACCTTTTGAGTAGAGCTTAAATAACCATTTTGTTTTGATAAAATTATTATGAACACATTTAATAATATCTAAATATGTTTGCTTCATTTTATTTATTCAGTGTAAATAAGTATAAAAACAGGCAGTTTATTCAGTGAACTAGACAGTCAGTAGCAGCAGCAATGGGAACAGCAGTTTGGAATAACTCTGAGGTCTTGGTTCTTCTACCTGCAACCATTTGTCTTTCTAGAATTCATGTGTTGGCAACTTAGTTTTCAGAGTCATATGCTAATGGGAGGCAACACCTTTAGGAGGTAATTCAGAACCAAAAGGTCCTGAGAGTAGGGCCTTCACTCCTGCATTAGTGGCTCTGTGAGCAGAGATAAGGAGAACACGCTTGTTCTTCATTGCTGAGTACTTCACTATGTTCTCCAAATTCTGCCTGTTTTAAATGCAACCTCTCAACCTTGAATTCTCAGAAGATGAACTGAATAAATGCACCCACCTTCCTGTTTTATCATGGCAATAGAAAATAGACTAAGATAGGAGCTGCCTACTTCTCAACATCTAGTAAATTCCTGGACTTTTATACGATACCTCATTTAGTCCATTTCTCAACAATATAAGGTAAACATTCGTTTTATTTTCATTTTATAGAGGAAGCTATTGAGGCTTGGAGAAGACAAGTGACTTGACCCAAGATCACCATGAAGTTTGCTTTTTTTGCGATGCTCATCTGTCTTACATCCAGGTTTTTATTTTGTTTTTAGGTTATTTTTTAATTTTTATTTTTATATAGCCTCTCTTTCCCTTTGCTATCTACAAGAGAGCCATGGTCAATAGTTCAGTCATTAAAAGAACAAATTGTCATTCCGTGAACCACCCACTAACAGGCTTGGCACTTACTTAGTGAGAATGAATTATTTATAACAGGTTTCTCACTTGATGATCATATTTCTCTCTGATTTTAAAGATAGTAATTAGTTGCAAGCACTAAATGAATGATCAAATCGCAATGGCAGATTTCAACTTCAGATTGCAAATTAGATAGCTCCAACTTTTCAAACTGTTTGCTAGACTCTATAACAGTGATTCTCAACTTGTGGATCACGACCCCTTTGGGGAGTCACATGGCACTTTCACAAGAGTCGCATATCAAATTTCTTGCCTAGCAAATATTTACAGTATATTCATAACAGTAGCAAAACTACATTTATAAAGTAGCAACAAAATAGTTTTATTGGAAAATCATTTTATGAGGAACTGTATAAAGGGCCACAGAACTACAAAAGTTGAGAACCACTGTTCTATAAGAAAGTATTATAGACTTGGAGAGGAGCAGTAGAAATTTACATTTCACAGTTCTGGAGGCTGGAGGTTAAGATCAAAACTTGAGAAACTTGATTTTTTTCTGAGGCCTATTTACATGGCTTGCAGGTAGCTGCCTCTTACAGTATATATGTCTCACCGATATCTTCTTCTGTGGCCAAATGGAGCTGCTGTAATGTTTTCATTTTAAGTTAATCACCTTTTAAAAGGGCTTACCTTACAAAAACATTTCAAGAGCCAGAGGTTGGGAGGTACTGGAGAAAAACTGTCTTCTGGACCCAGCAGGTAGCACACCCATTGCATTGATTGCTCAGAGAACCTGTAATTTTTCTGCACAGCTTGCAGCATGGAGCATAAGGGGACTCACAGGCCCTCGTTCTAGCTGAGGATATATGGACAGGTAATGGATCTTAGGAGAGGAAGACTCAATTTTCTTTCAGGGTGAGGCCTGTGGCAAGTTAAATCCCTTCCAGTTTATGGCCCTGTACCCAGAAGAATATGGGGAGCGTAAAATGGGCTTGATTAGTTAAATAAAACAAAAACAAAACAACAATAACAAGAACAACAACAACCAGAGGATACACAATTAGGGAGGTGGGATGGAACTGGGAGAAGTTACAGGGAGAAATGAAGTATGGATATAATCAAACACTTGGTATAAAATTCTCAAAGATTT